GCACATGGGAGAAGACAGGCTGACAGCTGCTATGTAACCCAATCATCCAGCACACGACCAGCACAGAGGGGCTCTGCTCGTCCCTTCTTCAGCTATATTCTCTCTTTCATCTGTCTTCCCTGGAGATTGCCTGCCTGAGGAGCCTGCCAACACACCTGGGGCTGCTGAGACCTGTGTTCCCCCAACACACAGCCTGCTGCATGCAATAGAAAGACACAGACAGCCAGCATAATGTGGGAAAGTGTTTCTGTTACTTATTCCAGCAAAGCTACTACAAACCTGTGTCTTGGAACCTTCAACATGTAGGGGGATTGCTGGAATTTGCGGTCCTCCCAGAAGGTACCAGCCATGGACTCTTTCCTAAGCAGGCATGTAGGAGCTGCACACAAGCGTGTAGTTTGGTACTAGGGAGGTTAGGAGAAGACAGCACTTTATGTTGAACTGCTATCTCACATTATTCCAGTAAAGCTTTTGAAACGTCATGCCTGGTCTGAAGTTACTTAAAGGGGTGCATGGTGGTAATGGCATACAGCAGAACATTGCTGGGATCAGGGCCGTGGATAAGGGGGTACCACCAGTCCTCCTGTACGGGGCCCAGGACAGCAGGGGCCCAGGTAGCTGGGTGAATCGGATGTGGGCAGAGAGGGTGATCGGCACAGCGGGGGGGGACTACTAGAACCGATCCCCTGTATGGCTCTCTCTACAGCAGCTGAGAGCTGGCTTCTTCTCTCAATCTGGCTGACTTTCAGCTGCTGCAGAGTGGGTCATACAGAGGATCGGTTCCAGTAAACCCCCCGCCGCACCCATCACCCTCCATGTGCACCAAAAGTTGCCCTCCGCTGCCCATGGCCCCACCAACTTCCAGCTTCCCTCCTCTACTTCCCACCGGCAGCTGTAAGCACATAATAGGATCCTTCAGGATGGAGAGCAGGGGAAGAGTATGGTAAATATGTCACATTTATCAGCCCCTTCCTTTCCTGAATGAATGCAATGAGTGATCAGTACCAATCACTCACTGTGTTCATTCATAACTGGAGCCTAGTAAACTGTATTTTGTGGGGGTTTTTGAGCGGGCCCTGTCAGGTTGGCTGTATGGGGCCTCGTGGTTTCTAACAGCAGCCCTGGTGATCAGTACCAATCACTTATTGTGTTCATTCATAACTGAAGCATAGTAAACTGTGTTGTTGGTTTTTTTTTAGGGGGCCCTGTCAGGTTGGCTGTATGGGGCCCCATGGTTTCTAACAGCAGCCCTGGCTGTGATGCACATGGAGTGAAGTGGGGATAAGCTGTTGGTAAGGACAACAAGCACAAGAAGAAGATGATAAGACAGCCAGACAGCAGGAGAGTGGTACTGGCAGGGAACATGTACACAGGTACAGTACCTTGAAAAAGTATTCATACCCCTTGAAATTTTCCAGTTTGTCATGTTACAACCAAAAACATAAATGTATTTTATTGGGATTTTATGTGATAGACCAACACAAAGTGGCACATAATTGTAAAGTGGATGGAAAATAATAAATGGCTTTCAAATTTTTTTACAAATATATATCTGAAAAGTGTGTCGTGCATTTGTATTCAGCCCCCTTTACTCTGCTACCCCTAACTAAAATCTAGTGGAACCAATTGCCTTCAGAAGTCACCTAATTAGTAAATAGAGTCCACCTGTGTGTAATGTAATCTCAGTATAAATACAGCTGTTCTGTGAAGCCCTCAGAGGTTTGTTAGAGAACATTAGCGAACAAACAGCATCACAATGGCCAAGGAACACACCAGACAGGTCAGGGATAAAGTTGTGGAGAAATTTAAAGCAGAGTTAAGTTATAAAGAGGCCCATGGTAACTCTGGACATGGCCATCCACCTAAACTGACAGGCCGGGCAAGGAGAGCATTAATCAGAGAAGCAGCCAAGAGGTCCATGGGAACTCTGGAGGAGCTGCAGAGATCCGCAGCTCAGGTGGGAGAAACAGTCCACAGGACAACTATTAGTCGTGCGCTCCACAAATCTGCCCTTTATGGAATAGTGGCAAAAAGAAAGCCATTGTTGGAAGAAAGCCATAAGAAGTCCCGTTTGTGGTTTGCGAGAAGCCATGTGGGGGACACAGCAAACATGTGGAAGAAGGGGCTCTGGTCAGATGAGACCAAAGTTTAACTTTTTGGCCTAAAAGCAAAAGGCTGTGTGTGGTGGAAAACTAATACTGCACATTACCCTGAACACACCATCCCCACCGTGAAACATGGTGGTGGCGGCATCATATTGTGGGAATGCTTTTCTTCAGCTGGGACAGGGAAGCTGATCAGAGTTGATGGGAAGATGGATGGAGCCAAATACAGGGCAATCTTAGAAGGAAACCTGTTCAGAGTCTGTAAAAGACTTGAGACTGGGGTGGAGGTTCCCCTTCCAGCAGGACAACGACCCAAAACATCCAGCCAGAGCTACAATGGAATGGTTTAGATCAAAGCATATTCATGTGTTAGAATGGCCCAGTCACAGTCCAGACCTAAATCCAATGGAGAATCTGTGGCAAGACTTGAAAATTGCTGTTCCCAGATGCTCTCCATCCAATCTGACAGAGCTTGAGCGATTCTGCAAAGAAGAATGGGCAGAAATGTCCCTCTCTAGATGTGCAAAGCTGGGAGAGACATCCCCAAAAACACTTGCAGCTGCAATTGCAGCCAAAGGGGGTCCTACAAAGTATTGACTCCGAGGGGCTGAATACAAATGTAGCCTCTTTATTAGGTACACCTGTTCAATTGTTTGGTAACACAAATTGCTAATCAGCCAATCACATGGCAGCAACTCAATGCATTTAGGCAACTTGACGTGGTGAAGATGATATGCTAAAGTTCAAACTGAGCATCTGAATGGGGATGAAAGGGGATTTAAGTAACTTTGAACGTGGCATGGTTGTTGGTGCCAGACGGGCTTGTCTGAGTATTTCAAAAACTGCTGATCTACTGGGATTTTCACGCACAGCCATCTCTAGGGTTTACAGAGAATGATCCAAAGAAGAGAAAATATCCAGTGAGCGGCAGTTGTGTGGACAAAAATGCCTTGTTGATGTCAGAGGTCAGAGAAGAATGGGCAGACTGGTTCGAGATGACAGTAAGGCAACAGTAACTCATATCAATATGGACCAAAATCTCAGAGGATTCCAACACCTTGTTGGAACTATGCTATGAAGAATGAAGGCAGTTCTGAAGGCAAAAGGGAGTCTAACCCGGTACTAGCAAGGTGCACCTAATAAACTGGCCAGTGAATGTATATAGGAAATATATCATATATACTTGTTTTAAACTTTTTTGCATTACTTCAGTTACTTCCTGGTTTCCATGCCTAGGTAAATTATGTCATACATCCCATCTTTAGAAGTGGAGGGAGGGTTATCGGCTCAGCCTATGCCTGTGGCAGGCGCAGCACCCTTTGGTGCCTTGTGCGCTGTGGCATTAGAAAAATTATGCAATTGCTGTTTCTTTGTTGATTAGACTGACTTTACTCTGTAAGTCCTCCAATGCTGCTCTATGGATGCAGTAGGTTTAAAGAGCACACCGAATACTTTAGTTATCTTCTTTAATAACTTCAATCTTCTTCATATAACACTGCTTACAATGGCTTGTTTCATTTATCATACAGTAGCTTATTTCTTTCATATTACAGTGGTTTGATTCGATAGCTTATCTTGATAGGTTCAATAGATTCGATAAATTTGTTCTGTATATTTCGATAGATTGATAAATTCACTTGGATTTATAAATTCGTTATATTCGATAAGTTCGTAAATTCGATAAGTTCGTAAATTCGATAAGTTCGTAAATTCGATAAGTTCAGTGGAACTACAAGTAAACACACACACACAACAATTTTTACATACAGATCTACCTGCATTACTAAACAACAGAGGAACACATACAGTAAGTGCATTAAATACCTATTTGGCCTTCTCTGCTTCCATAAAGCTTTTCTGATTGGAACTTTGTCTGTTTCCTCTTCTGTCTGGTGAGCATGTGTCTCTAGAAAATCCTAGCAGGGAGTTTTACACAGGCATAAATGTGAAACTGGCTGGGACTGGTTAAGGCTCTGTACAGTGTGAGGCTGTCTGTGATTGGCTCACCTTTAACTAAATCTTAAAGGCATATTTTCCTTTTCTGCTTCTGCTAACACAATTAATTAATAAAAAATGTCATATAACAATCAAAGACATAAATCACAGCAATGATTCTGCTTTTGGCTTTAACATATGCACATATACACTGTACTGAGGTTATTGGCAGGTTTGGTATACACATATATGTGAACCATATTAACAACCTAGGACTGGTCTTAGCTAGCCAGCTACAATGACTGAGCTAAGGGCAAATAGATTACAGGAAGTAAATGATACATGAGTCATCTACCCTTACTTAAGATGGCCACTGCCAGAAATAATATGGATGGATGGGCGAGTTTGCTTTGAATATTAAAAATGAATTAAATAGCATTTTTGGTTTGTGGTGCCTAGATGTAGAGCAGTTCCACTTTAAGTGACAGCCATGGCCAAACTCTGATTCTTGGCCAATCTGCACAGCCCAGACACTTATCCACTGCATGTGTAAGCCTAGCTGCAAAGTTGGACAGGGCACCCCCCCCCCCCCCCCATGGCCACCCAACACTGTGACTAGCAAGGAAATAAAGGTTTGGGAGGACTTTCAAGAAGGTTCTTTACTCTGCAGGGAAGGTTCCAGTTCTCCTGGTGCTACTGCCCTTGGGAGATAGCCAGAGAGACAAGAAAATGCAGTTGGGGCCTGAGCAGGAACTGGGCTGAGTACCTATAGAAGATTACTAATGGATTCTTTCCTGAAGGACACTGCACTGAAGTCCTGGTCTGGAAAAGGATCTTTTATCTCCCTCGCTGAGAATCTACCTGTGGATGCTGAGTGGCAGTCAGCTTCTGGGACATTGTGAGTAAGACCTACAGTGGGACTTTCATATGTGCCTGCTACTGTAACAGGGGCGGACTGACCATTTGGAAACTCGGGCAGTGCCCAAGGGCCTGGGTTCAATAGGGGGTCCCTTGAGATGCCCCTGGTACCTTTTTCATAGGCTTTTTTGAGTTTGGGCAAGGACACAGGGGCCCCATGATCCACTATTGCCCAAGGGCCCCATGAGTTGTCAGTCCGCCCCTGTGCTGTAAGGATTTGGGTGAAGTTGTCCTCCTATTGATTTTAATACGCCTGAACCTCTCTCTGCTGTTTCAAGTTGTTCTGCAATAAATTCTAAAAAGACATCCCCTAGACTAAGCCTGTATTGTCAGCAGGGGTGGACTGACAACTCATGGGGCCCCGGGCAATAGGGAATCATGGGGCCCCTGTGTCCTTGCCCAAACTCAAAAAAGCCTATGATAAAGGTACTAGGGGCATCTCATGGGGCCCCCTACTGATCCTGGGCCCTCGGGCAGTGCCCCAGTTTCCAAATGGTCAGTCCGCCCCTGATTGTCAGAGTGCATGGAACTGTGCTTGTGAATGGCAGCCTCTGTACTAACAAGGGAGACCTGGGTTATTCTCAGCAGCCCATCTGGGGGTGAGTGCTATAAATGCATAGTAATGATGTGTGATTGTACAACACCATGGAATATGTCACTGCTATATAAAGGTATAATATTAGAGTGTCATTGTACAACGAAAAGGTATATGTCAGAGCTACAGTATATGAATGTATAGTTATGTGTGATTGTACAATGCTACAGTATATGCCAGAGCTAGATCAATGTATATTAATAATGTGTGATTATACAATACCGGTATATGTCAGAGCTTTATAAAGGTATAGTAACATTGTGTGATTGTACAACAATAATATACATGTGATAGCTATAGAAATGTATAGTAATAATAATACGTGATTGTTCAATGCTTCAGAATATGTCGGAAGGCTATGGTTCTATCAAACCACCATATTATTGTCTGTATGGGCAGCATTAGGGAAGGGAGCTTTATGAATGTTGATCCTTCTAAGGATCAGTAAAAATGGGATATGTGGGGGGGGATGTCTGAACTGCAGAGCTGACACTCTTTTTCTCCACAGAGACTTAAAGCCTGGGACCATTCATCTAGCTGATGCTGGTCAGGGGAAAATTGTTGACTTTGGTGAAGCAATGACCAATATATTCAGATCCAAAACAGCGATGGGTTTAGTTGGATACCAACTTAAATGGCCCCTGAGGTGAGTAAAAGACCAGTGCTCTGATAATCCAATGTGCCCACCCATGGAGCAAGTGTAAACCATATTAGACCCTAGTTATAGAGTAGCTGTATAGATAGGGTGTACATGAACCAAATTTCCTACAAATTAAAAAAAAAAACCTGTATAGACCAGGGACAATGTAATTATAGACCAAATCACAGCAAAATTCAAAAGAACCTGTTTACAAGGGAAAATTATAGATCAAATTCCACCTGAATTAAACACAACCTGCAAACACAAGAGAATAACTGTATTGAACATATTACACGTGAAAAAAAGAGAACCTGTATACATGGGGAAATTATAGATCATATTACACCCAAATTAAGCAGAACCTGTATACTTGCGGAAATTATTGACCAAACTACATGTAAATAAAAAATGTATTTTAGTTTCCTCACACACTCCCTGCTCCCTTGCAGACTCATGCCAGCTGCCCCTACAAATTTGCCCCTTATCCCAGTCCTCTTGCAGACTCATCTATACGCACATTTATCAGGGTTCCCTTGCACACCGATCCCTGCTTTCTTTCACACCCACTCCCGTATCCTCGCATGTCCATCTCTGCTCCATTGTACGCTCATTTAAGGTTTCTAGACAAATCTACATGCCACCAGTGAAAGACAATGCTAAAATCATGCTTCTGATTGGAAGAGACATCCCAAGAGTCCACAAGGTACAAGAGCAGCATACAGGTAATCTTGGTAACAATCCTTATGCCCAAAGGACAAAACTAGCAAGGGTAGATATTGGTGCTCCTTGTTCCAGTAACCTTCACTCAATGTGCACACTTGTAAAGAGATTGTTGAGAGAATCCAAGACGTCCCCTTCATCTCCCAAAACATGTGCTATGACAGTGGTTCTCAACCTGTGGGTCGCGACTCCTTTGGGGGTCGAACAACCCTTTCACAGGGGTCGCCCAAGACCATCGGAAAACACATATTTCCGATGGTCTTAGGAACCAAGACACCGCTCCTCTATCCATCTCCAGGCGGGTCCGCCCACATGCAGATACACCCAGGAGTGCCCGGCGTGATGACATCTTCGCACCAACCCCATCACATATACCCTGTACAAATACAGGTGTATGTGACAGGGTTGGTGCCATAATGCACTTATGTGGACCAGTCACACGTGTAAAGAGCAGCTACTGTGTAGAAAGCAGCTGCTGTGTTGAAAGCAGCAGTATTGGAGGTAAAACGACACTTCATGAATTATAATTACTGGGTAAATGTAAAATCATGTACTGTAAATCATCAAATACTGCAAAAAAAAAAAAAAAAAAATGTTCAATTTGTAACAATGAAAATACATCCTGCATATCAGATATTTACATTACGATTCATAATAGTAGCAAAATTATAGATATGAAGTAGCCACGAAAATAATTTTGTGGTTGGGGGTCACCACAGTCTGAGGAACTGTATTAAAGGGTCGTGGCATTAGGAAGGTTGAGAACCACTGTGCTATGAGAACTCAAAACATACAACCACCCAGTCAACAAGACTTTCTGAGAGTGATCAAGTCTACTTTATAGAAACATCTCACAGCAGTATCAGTAAAAAGATATCTCAAAATACTAATGAAAGCAACAAGACTGAACCTTGAATGGATGTCCTGGATTCTACTAGGACCATGATCCTGCATGACAGTAATGATGTTCATCAGTTCATAGACTGTGCAGCTAGCGAATCTAAGTCACCATCTATTTCGGTAGATACTACTGAGTTGCTCACGGTGAACCAGCCGCAACCTCAAGCTGCTCCTTTCATCAATGGAACTACACTTGGAAATTGCAAAACACTAATGTCACTTCACGTAACAGGAGCCTAGAGACTTTGACTCCTCGATACTGAAGAGGAGACTTGACCCAAGTTGTAATTTACTCCCAAATCTATCTACCAAAACTGAAGTAGAAGTAGTAGCTCGAGGAATGCACCAAGGGCCTTGCTAGCATCCAGTGGTCAAGGAGAGTTATCCAAGCCATCCGCCCTAGGCTTCAAACAGGAATATCCTGCATTCACAAGTTGAGAGCCAAGCCTCCAGGGGACAGAATAATCCAAAATTCCTTTGGAACAACAAAATAGATTTTTCCACTTCATTTTCACAGTGAACATGCATGGTTTGCCATCCATGGAGAAGTGATGATGCCTTAAGGACTGTTTTGGGTATGTGCACACACAACCATCTCTGGGGTTTACAGAGAATGGTCCGAGAAAAAGAGAAAATATCCAGTGAGTGGCAGTTGTGTGGATGAAAATGCCTTGTTGGTGTCAGAGGTCAGAGGAGACTGGGCAGACGGGTTCAAGATGATAGAAAGGCAACAGTAACTCAGATAGCCACTTGTTACAACCAAGGTATGCAGTATACCATCTCTGAATGCACAACACGTCGAACCTTGAAGCAGATGGGATACAGCAGCAGAAGACCACACCGGGTGCTCCTCTTGTCAACTAAGAACAGGAAACGGAGGCTGCAATTCGCACAGGATCACCAAAATTGGACAACAGAAGATTAGAAAAATGTTGCCTGGACTGATGAGTCTCGATTTCCCTAGAGATGGTTGTGCATGAAAATCCCACTGGATTAGCGGTTTTTGAGATACTCAGACCAGCCTGTCTGGCACCAACAACCACCAATGTTCATGCATGTACTCCCTCTGTTGTTTCTTTCTCTTTGTGCAGGTGACATTGGAGCAAGTGCATATAGTCAGGAAGTGGCTGATCACATGATTTGTTATGGAGCAGGGGTCTTCAAACTTTCTAAGCAAACAGCCAATGGACTGTAGCCAATGGGAGTAGAAAATTCCCCGGCATCAGTGCCCCATCATCGGTTTTAATAGGAGGAATAGTGCCCCATTGTTGATATCAGTGAGAAGAATAGTGCTCCATTGATGATATCAATGAGAAGTTTAATGCTCCATTGATGGTGTCAGTAGAGGGAATGGTGCTCCATCACTGGTGACAGTTGGTGGAATATTGCCTCTAGGGCCAGATAAAGGGAAGCAAAGGGCCACATTCGGCCCCCGGGCCATAGTTTGGAGACCACTGTTATGGAGCAGTAACATTACATTATTATGTGTTGCTGGTGCCAGGACGGGGTCATCTAGAGCCCAGGGCAAACAAACCAAACCCCCCCAAGATGTATGAGCATTATGTGTCAGCAAAAAATCCCCCCCACCCAAAAAAAAAAAAAAAATCAAGCGCTAATCTGCATGCCTACCCCCTAAGCATAAATTCCCCCTCCTCCAAATACAAATTTGTCCCCTTCTAAATTCCACCCTTTGCCAGAACAGATCTTTGCCCCACCCTCCCTCCAAGCTCTAATCCTCTCACTATCCAAATCTCCCAGCGCAAATATCCCCCACCCAATAAAATCACTCCTCCTAGCACAAATCCTCTACCCCTTTAAATTTCCCCTCCGAGCACAAATTCTCTTCCCCCACTCCAAATCCCCCTTCGCAGCACAAATTCTCCCCCAATCCCCTCTCCTAGCAAATCCTCTACCCCTAAATTTCTCCCCTGAGCAGAAACCATCTTCCCCCACTCCAAATCCCCCTTCCTAGCACTGATCCCCCCCCCTTCAAATTCCCCCTCCTAGTACAAATACCCCCCAATCATCCCTACTAGCACAAATCCCCCCCCAAAAAAATGTCCCCTTCTAGCACAAATTCCCTCCCCCCCCACCATATCACCCCTTCTAGCACAAACCCCCTCCCAACACAAATTGCCTCAACTCAACATTCCCAGCACACCCTCCAAATTCCCCCTACCAACGCAAATCCCCCCCA